GATAATTACCCAAATCATATAAATTTCAATAACTTTTTTATTTTTTGATCAATAGACTTAAACTTTTTTTATTACAGGTAACTTTTGATTCTCCATAAAAAAGTCTCTTGAGTTTTTTTGATACAATGTATACTTTACGAAATATTTAATAAATTCAAAAAAAATCAAGATGGCGGCCATTTTTTCCCAAGTTCCACCAATGCGACAAAGTGCGATTTTTGAGGGGTTAATAAGGACCCTATTGAGTACTCATTTCCGCAGAGATCACTTCGTTACTAATTTTTTCTACCTCACTTGTATAAACCTGCCTAGATTGACCAGCCTAATAGTGTGTAGTATAAGTTGCATATACATCAGAATGCAGTTATTTGTGTAATTAGCGTTGCACCGCGATTGCATTTCTGTATGATTAGAATGCAGCGACCATCTTGAATCTTGAAATAATAAAAATTATTATTAAACAAAATGGCGATTTTGTACCTTGCGGGTGCAGTCTTGTGCGTCGTGCTTTATTTCGCCTTTCTCAAACGTTTTACCTACTGGAAATCGCGCGGTGTGCCTCAGTATAGCCTTTTGGTTAACTTTCGTGAATTGCTACTCGGTTTGATATCACACAGAGGCACTACCGAGACCATTCAGACAATTTACAATGCGTTCCCAGGGTCGAGGTAAGCTAATCAGAAAAAAGTCGCCTGTCTGACTGTCTGCCCAGGTACTGCGGGGATTACCAGTGTTCGACGCCGATTTTGGTTATACGCGACCTTGAATTGATAAAGAAGGTCGCGGTGGTAGACTTTGATCACTTTACCGATCACGTCAATATGTCGGTGGCGCAGGACTCCGAGCCGATTTGGAAAAATAATCTGCTCGCGCTAAAAGGTCACGACGCGACGGTCGTTAAGCACGACCATGTTAATTACATGTTCATATTCCACAGGTGACAAATGGAAGGATATGCGGGCCACTCTCTCCCCTTCCTTTACAAGTAGCAAAATGAAGGCGATGTTTAACCTAATATCCAACTACTCCAAAGCGTTCGTGGAGTACTGCGAGGAACATCCAGATCAAGCCCACTCGATGGAGATGAAAGACGTTTTCACCCGATTCACGAACGACATCATCGCGACCTGCGCCTTTGGTATCAATTGCGATTCCATGCGAAATCCGCAGAACGAATTTTACTTGATGGGCAAAGATATAACCAATTTCACGGGATTTTGGGTCAACTTTAGGATGATTTTCACGTTCCTGTTTCCTCGCCTAGCAAAAGTGGTATATGCCCTTTTTCGCGGTTTCTACAAGGTTTTGCTTGCAGCGACTACAAATAACGTTCTTCTCAAAGCGGGCGACGCACTTCTTCGCGACCCTCATTCGGGAAAACATCGCGAGTCGAGAGCAGAATGGCATTATACGCCCTGATATGATTCACTTACTGCTAGAAGCACGAAAAGGCAAAGCCCGCGAGGACTCCCGATTCACGGTGACCGAAGGAGTTGCTGATCGACAGGAAGAGAAACGGAAGAAGGAACAATTGACCGACTTGGACATAACGGCTCAAGCGCTAATCTTTTTCCTTGCCGGTTTTGACACCGTTTCTTCTTTGATGTGCTTCATGGCACACGAACTTGCCGTTAACGCCGACATCCAAGAACGTCTTCAACTTGAAGTCGACGACATCATGCGGCAATGCGAGGGGAATATCACCTACGAGGCGTTGTCAAAAATGGAATACATGGACATGGTGGTTTCAGGTAAGTACCCTCTCCCGCTTAAGTCCACGCACTAAGTCGTACTGCACCAGAAACGATGAGAAAGTGGCCATCCCCCGTATTCTCCAATCGCGCCTGCACCAAATCGTACACGATCGAACCCGAAAAGGAAGGCGAAAAGGCCGTAAAGTTGAACGTGAACGATCCCATTTTGATTCCGATCTTCGCGATCCATCGGGACGAAAACAATTACGAAAACCCCACCCGATTCGATCCCGAACGGTTCAATAGGGAGAATAAGGCGAGCGTACTTCCCTACCAGTTCATACCGTTCGGCGTCGGGCCGAGGTCGTGCATCGGAAATCGTTTCGCACTCATGGAAACGAAACTGGCCTTCTTCTACCTTCTGAGCAAATTTAATCTGGTGGTCACCGAAAAGACCGACGTACCGCTGCAGCTCGACAAACATGCATTTCACCTGAACGCCAAAAACGGATTTTGGTTAGGCTTAAAAGCGAGAACACCCTGACCTCTTGTGCCATGGTCGGGCATGGGTCTTTAACTTTACTAAAATACAGCATCAACATTATTTTCTCTATTTTTAGTGTAGATAAATGCATTTTAAAAATACGATATCAACTTCCTCTAACAGCGCATGCCCTAATGCTCTTCCCCCACTCCTCCATATAGTCTATAATCGTTATCCTTCCTTTTTTACTCCCCCTTCCGTTTTTTGCGTTTTTTTAAATTTTGATAATAGTGTTGAGTTGTCAGGCATATACAGGGTGATTCCTATAGTACCTGCCACCGTTTGGGAGCGTATAGGGGGTGCCTAGGGGAAGTCTTTTCATATAGGACACTTGGGGTCGGAAATCCAAAATAAGGGCGCCAGAACCAAATTTATCTTCTGGAATTTCACGCCTGTATGTAGGCAACCCAACCGACCGACGTTTCGCGCGGAGCGATGCAGAGCGAGTTAGCGCGAGGAAGCGACATGGGAGGGAAGGAGGGAAAACGACAGTCAAAAGCAATAACGTTTACAAGTGTTCAACGTGGCCACCGTTGTTCTCAATGCACTTCCTACATCTAGCCAACCACTCCCCTCGAACTCGCGTGAAGACTCCTATGTCCTGGCGAACAGCCTCTCCGGCCATGACGACGCGCGCAATTAAGTCCTCTTCGGATTCGACGGGAGTCTCGTAGACGTGCGCTTCCATCACACCCCACAAGTAAAAATCTAATGGGGTGATGTCGGGCGAGCGGGCAGGCCACTCCACCGCACCTCCACGGCCGATCCATCTGTCCGGATAGGTTTGGTCCAAGTGTTCCCTCACCTGCCGCCCGTAGTGAGCAGGGCACCCATCGTGCTGGAACCAGTGGTCCCAGTACAAGTTCACTGGAACATCCATTAAAAGTTCTGGTAGCACCTCGCGCAGGAAAATCAGGTAATTATGGGCATTTAGACGCGGAGGGAGGATGTAAGGCCCCAGTAGGTTGTCCCCCAGGATGCCAGCCCAAACGTTTAAAGAAAACTTGTCCTGGTATCCTCGCGTAAACGTTTCATGAGGATTGTGCTCCGCCCAGTAGTGGCTGTTACGAGGATTGAAGGTCCCCTCTCTTGAGAATCCTTTCTCGTCAGTAACTAGCACGCTCCTCAGAAAGTTCGGATTAGCTTCTTCCTCCTGGACGACTAAGTTGCAGAATTCCAGCCTCCTTTCATGGTCACCCGGCCGTAACTCTTGCACTTTCTTAAACTTATAGGGGTGTAAGTTGTTGTTGTTGGCGATGTTCCACACTGTGTGTTGACTACAACCCACCTGATCTGCTACAAGTCGAGTGCTAGTACGCGGGTTTGCCTCGAAACGTTCCAACACATCCTCCTCTAAGGCAATTACCAACGGGCGATCGCGATCACGGGCGCTAGTGGGCTGCGAAATAGGAGGAGGTCGGTGTAAACAAACAAACTTTTCGAAATGGGTGCTTAAATGACCCAAGTATCGATGTGCATCACGAATCTGTGTGTAAAGTTAAGCCTCCGTCAGCTTACCTGCAATTGCCCTGTCTCGCACAGTCGGAAGTGAACTTCTTGAAAGACCTGTCTGCAGGGTAACTGACGGTTTGGATACCGCTCAGCGTACGCTCGTCGTGCAGCTCGTGCGTTACCATTTGCCAATCCGTACATGAAGTGCATGTCCGCGTATTCCGTGTTAGTAAAACGTGCCATAGTGTTTATTCACTTGATACGCGTCGTTGCAGACGGGATTTCGTGGGTTTAAACAAAATTCTGATCAAGTGTCAGCCACACATCGCCGCCTGAGATCGCTCCGTGTGCACCGCCGGCCGGTTGGGTTGCCTACCTACAGGCGCGAAATTCCAGAAGGTAAATTTGGCTCTGGCACCCTTATTTTAGATTTCCGACCCCAAGTGTCCTATATCAAAATACTCCCCTACGCACCACCTACACGCTCCCAAACGGTGGCAGGTACTATAGGAATCACCCTGTATAGGGTATGTGGAATATCGTATTGTAACGGAAACGCTCCAGCCATGACGTCACCTTTGGCGCTCTGGAATTTTCTACGCGCGCGATAGTGGGATTTGTTTAGGAATATTCGAGACTGTACGCGAATGTGCTGGACTTACATTGCTTGCGTGTATAAATGGTTGCGGACCGAACATCGCGGCAGTTTACTATCGAACGAGATCGAGTACATATGAAACATCGGGCGCGGAAATATAAATTGCGAAGTGTGTGATATAAATAATCGATATAAATTGTACGGTTTTTATAGTGTTTTAGTTTTGTTTAATAAATATTGATATAAATCGAACCCGAATTTATAAATCACGTTACAGTATATATCTCGGTAAATATTGAGATGCCCCAACCTTACCAACGTCCTGTGAATATGATTGTCGATACGAAGCACCCTATACATCATGTTAGTTACACAAGCTGCCAACCGAAATCTGGTGGGATTACAGCAAAGGGAAAGAGAGCGAAGATGAGATGGATAGAATTTCTCGGAAGACCACATGTGTTTACCATTTCAAACACCTGCAGTCCAGTTTTTTCCTAGAAATGCGTGAAATGCAGGGAATGGGCGATTTTCGGGTGGTTTTTAGGGGTGTTAACAGATCAAATTACAGAGTCGCTTGGGGTAGTCACAAAATACGAATTAACATGTGTGTTTATGGTCTTTTTCTTGTAACCGGCTTAAGTGTAAAGTACGGCTTATCTTGAAATATTTTGTTATACCTTAATCATTGCTGTGTGCTTTTGCTTTTTATATCAGGTGAGGTATTTGCTTTATTCAATTAATCTATAAATGTGTGTAACTTGAATGCAGATTGTAACCCTCTACTTATGTACTTACTGAATTCAATCACTTGTACCATTGGATTTATACTTGTACCTTTAATGTGTAATCTTTGTTGGTATTGGCAATCATGTTTCATTGTCGGTAGGGCTGTATCTGTGATGTATATACTTGCATGTGTACATATTTGTGTATTGTGCTTTTTAGTCTCTCTCGATTATTTCATTGCATTTCATTATATTTGCTTACTTGAGGCTGTGAGTAATCAAGAGGGAAGTGTGCTTGTTTAGAGGAGATCGAGCTATTCAAGTTTATACGGCCTTGGTGAACCTAACACTAACATTTTCACTCGTTCCGAACCCAACAACTTTAGCCCACGTCTACAGGCACCCCACTGGGCCTGGGTCATCCTACCGTCCGGCGAGGCATAGTTAATATCTCTTAGTTTTGTCTGATATATGTGTTGTAACGGTAGAATGGCTCGATTCTATTTTAGTTATTCATAGCGTGTATGTAGTGTTTACCCCGGTTTCGAGAGGGCTCAAAAGTGCTGTGCATTGGATGTTAGCTGTAGGCTTTGTTCATTATAGGACTACTCCGAATTCGGTTTTCCTGCAGTTTTCCTAATTCGTAAGGTAAATGCCGGAGTAGTATAGAACCACTTAAGACCCTCTGCAGCGGCAACGTATTCGTATTGGTATTAGCTTCAATATAATCTTAATCAGCTATTGCTTTTGGCGTTTCTTACCCATAAAACGCCCCCAGTGCCCGCTGAGAACCCAGTTATTACACAACGTAGGTATCCGACATGACGATCTTAGTGCACTCGGAGTGGCCCCCGAGTGACAGATTCTCGCTGGAAACTTAAGCGAGAATATTCAAATAGGCAGCCATGTTAGTTTGGCATTCCCGATACTACAGAATATGGTCAAATATTCCGGTGTGACTTGAAGTTGGCGTTAAACTGCCAAGATAGTGGATAGATCAGTACAATATCCAATGTATACAACATTCTTCTATATGAAAAGAAGGCAGCATTCAGTTGTTTTTATTTCAGAAAACAAATGAGTTACAAAAAACAATTGAATTTTTTTAAAAGGCAGTGGATCTTTTCATTAGGCTCATTTGATAGCGATTTTTTTTCTCTTTTCGATGATATTACATGTTAGTACCTACCCTTATTAAAAAAAATTTTTCGAAAAAATTTATTATAATATGATCAATAACATTAATCCAAAATAAAACAAATGAACGTGTAGGTTTCTTATTAAACCTTGAAGACCAAACGAAATTAGCAGTAAAATGAAAAGATAAAAATAATCTCTATCAAATGAAAGAGTGTGCAATGCTATTATTCATTTGTTTTCTGAAATAAAAACATTGGAATGCTGCCTTATTATGGGAAATAAAATGCTAAAACACTTTCATATAGAAAAATTTTGTATACAGTCAATATTTACCGAGATATATACCTACTATGTTCCATACATAACGGGCGCCCTGTATATAGTACGTACCGCAAATCGAAAAAACCAGTTATCCGTATTTTATGGATTCATCGAAATTAGTTATGTGTGGTTGCAACCAATCTATAACCAAGATAAAAGATTGGATTTGCCCGGTTAAAAACAATATGATGAAAACGTCAAAGTCAAACAAATCCATGCTTGATGGAAAGTGCGTCAAGATCGCAAATGGAAAATGCGCGAGCTCCGTGTTAAGAAAGTAATCCAAAACAAGCCAATTTTCAATTATGTACCAATAAAAAATTGACCGTGATTAGATGTACAGGGTGGCCAAATAAGAATGTCAAGTAGTGTATCTGGGAACCTGTCCATCGTAGAGGCTTGCGGTAATAAAAGTTAGGTATTACTAAAACGGCCACGAGAAAAACCTGGAAAATATTTTTAAGTTTTTGAAATGGCCGCTAGGGCGCGTAACTGCAATCTGGAATTTAAGAAAGTGATGTTTCTGTGAATTCCGCTATATTAACCTAATGTCCGGTCTTTGAAGACGACGATAATCTGAACCTTTTTTGTTTGACAATTTTTCGTGTATCTCTAAAAATGAAGCGAAGAGGGGTATTCAAAGGTTTCCGTAAAGAACACCCTGTATCTTCGAAACGACTGAGCCGATTTTAACAAACTCGGGTTAATTGAAAAGAGTTATTCTTCGGCTACAAATATTATAATATTTGAAGTTTTGTTAGTTTCACATATCGCCGCTTGAGGGCTTTTTTCGACATTCCGACAGAAATGGTTAATTTTCTCAAAAAAATTAAATGCATTGGTTTGATTTTTTTTTCATGAAAAAGTAGCTAAATGGTGCC